CGCTGCGTTCAGCTTACCGACACCTGAACTTGTTGCTTCACGCTGCGTTCAGCTTACCGACACCTGAACTCGTTGCTAACGCTGCGTTCACCTTACCGACACCTGAACTCGTTGCTAACGCTGCCCCCTGTCAGCTGTTTAAAATGGCTAATCTGATAGCTTCAGCAGCTTGCAACCACTGTTTGCTAAATGCCTGGTAAGCATTTCTGGATCTGGATAGCATTAGCGGTAGCAGCTCATGCCTGGCAGGCGTTAGCAGAGGTGGCTACCATTAGCACTACGGTTAATCTGTCCACGTCTGTGGTTCAGCCTCATTCTGCCACAGTCAGGCTACTGTTACACGTTTTATACGGCGGGCTCGATCCTCCCACAGTCGCTAAAATCATTTTACGCTTTTTAAGGTGTTTCTAAACAGTTTTGGAGGATTTTGTCAGGGCCAGTTAACAGGTTAACAGGACCTAGCATTAATGGAGCTCCCCAATGCTAACTTTGGGTTAGCAAATGCCTGGCTAGCATTAGCACTAGTTTTAAGGGTACTAGCATGCATGGGGCTCTCCAATGCTAACTTTGGGTTAGCAAATGCCTGGCTACCATTAGCAGCCCTGACTAGCATTAGCAATAGTTTTAAGGGAACTAGCATGCTTGGAGCTCTCCAATGCTAACCTTGGGTTAGCAAATGCCCTGCTAGCATTAGCAACCCTGGCAAGCATTACAAGCCCTGGCTAGCATTAGTACTAGTTTTAAGGGAAGTAGCATACATGGAGCTCTCCAATGCTAACCTTGGGTTAGCAAATGCCTTGCTAGCATTAGCAAACCTGGCTAGCATTAGCACTAGTTTTAAGGGAAGTAGGATGCATGGAGCTCTCCAATGCTAACCTTGGGTTAGCAAATGCCTTGCTAGCATTAGCAGCCCTGACTAGCATTAGCACTAGTTTTAAGGGAAGTAGTATGTATGGAGCTCTCCAATGCTAACCTTAGGGTTAGCAAATGCCTTGCATTAGCAGCCCTGGCTAGCATTAGCATGAGCATTAAAGGACCTAATAGAGGCGTAACTCACTAGCGACCATTTAGCTCGGTTTCCGTGGTGACAGCAGTTCCCTCCGAGCCTCTTTTGCGTCTTTAATTCGCAGCAAAGTTCATCCGACGTAGAGAAGCGATTCTCGGCTGCTTAGAACTACAAACACTGAGCCCAGTCTCCCAGAATCCTTTGGTGTCGATGATGTAATATTTATTTTGTCAGAATATTAAAAAACGAATCATTGAAAGTATTTATTTCAGTGAAATGATTTTTTCATTTATTTCAGAGGAATCTTTGTAGCGTTGACCTTTAACCCGATGCGGTTTCAGCTTGAGTGTCTCTGAATGTTTCTACGTTTATTGATGGTGTGACTCTGCGTCTCTGACCAGGAGCTGAGAGCAAAGACCGTGTCTCTGTGGTCTCTGGTCAACAGCAAGATGGACCTTTACCTGAACCCCTTCTACACTCCAGAGTCTGGACAGGTTCTCTACCCGGTGGCCAGCATGCGCCACCTAGAGCTGTGGGTGACCTACTACATCCGCTGGAACCCCCGCATCAGGCAGCAGGTAGGATCTGGTCCCGTTCTCAGGAGGGTCTCCAGCTTCGGCTCCTTTAATGAATGACCTTTGACCTCCTCTGTGGCTGCAGCAGCAGAGTCCCGTGGAGCAGCGCTACAAGGAGCTTCTGGCCCTCAGAGAAGAATACTTGAAGAAGCTGGAGCAGCTCCAGCTGTCAGACTCCTCCTCCTACCAGCTGGCGAACAGCTCCTCCCCCAACACCACGCCGTCCTCGGCCTCCACGCCGTCCCAGCAGTTCACGCACCTCCAGACGCCGCTCTAGAGGCCAGAGACGCGCTCCTCGCCCCGTCTGATGGCGGCCTAACACAGAGCGCTGCTTCTTTTCATTGGACCTGGTGATTTATGCAATGGACGCCGTCTGGAAGCGCTCCAGAGGACGCCTCGTTTCCTGCAGGATCCTCAAAGTCTTTTATTTTGATAGAATTCATCTGAAGCTTTTAATCTCTTAGTTATTAATAATAATAATATATGATGGGATGGAGGCGATTTCTGGGGAAAAAGCAGGCGGACGCTTCTGAGACCCGTTGTCCACAAACTAAAGTGTTCCTGTCAGCTGGGGGCCGATATCTGGGGCCCCGGGCTGATCTCATCTCATCGATATATGGGGAGAAATCAGTCCCAGAATTATTGAAAGAAAAGAACAAGTTTAAAGAATGAAAAATGGAGGAAAATGAGTTTCAAAAACAGAAAATAGAAAAACTCAATGAAAAAAAAAGGTTTTCAGATGAAATCATGTTTGAAAAAAGTTCAGCCAATATTTGTCCTTCTGCGGCCCTCGCTGCACTGACCAATAGAAACGCTCATTTCTAGCGCTC